TTACTGTATGAGCCTTACTTACTGTATGTTCAACTCATAAGTATATACCCAAAGGAATTGAAAACAGGTATTCAAACCAATACTAGTACCCGAATGTTCCAGCAGCACTGTTCACAGCAACTGAAAAGTGGAAACAACCCGAGAATCCACTGATTTAAATATGGATGGATATTTAAAATATGAGGTAGCCACACAATGGAATATGTTTCAGCTATAAAAAGGAATGACTGCCAGGCATGGTGGCTCACGCCTGTAATGCCTGCACTTTGGGAGGCTGAGGCGGGCGGATTGCCTGAACTCAGGAGTTCGAAACCAGCCAGGGCAATGTGGCGAAATTCCGTCTCTACTAAAAATACAAAATTAGCAAGACGTGGTGGCACATGCCTGAATCCCAGCTACTTGGGAGGCTGAGGCAGGAGAATCCCTTGAACCTGGGAGGAGGAGGTTGCAGTGAGCCGAGATCGCACCATTGCACTCTAGCCTGGGCAACAAGAGCAGACCTCTGTTCAAAAAAAAAAAAAAGGAGTGACCTACCTACCCATTCATGTGGCAACATAATGAACCTTGAAAACATGATACTGAGTGAAAGAAGCCAGACACAGAAGGCCACATATTGTAGGATTCTATTTATATGAAGTATTCTGGGGTGGGCGCGGTGGCTCACACTTGTAATTCCAGCGCTTTGGGAGGCCGAGGCAGGTGGATCACCTGAGGTCAGGAGTTCGAGACCAGCCTGGGCAACACGGTGAAACCCCATCTCTACTAAAAATACAAAAATTAGCTGGGCATGGTGGTGGGTGCCTGTAATCCCAGCTGCTTGGGAGGCTGAGGTAGGAGAATCTCTTGAACCCACGAGGTGGAGGTTGCAGTGAGCTGAGATCGAGCTATTACACTCCAGCCTGGGCAAGAGTGAGAACTTGTTCTAGAGAGAAAAAAAAAAAAATTCTGAACAAGAGGCAAATCCTTACAGCTAGGCAGCCTCTGGTTCCCCGGGCTGTGGGGAGGGGCCATGGGAGTGAGTACTTAATGGGAATGGGGCTTCTTTTTGGAGTGATGGAAACGTCCTTAAATTTGATTGTGATGACGGCTGTAAAACCCTGTAAATATACTAATGTTTATTTAATTATACACTTAAAATAGGTGAATATTAGGATATATGTATTCTATCTCAATAAAACTTTTAAGAAATGTTTACTCAAACATTTAAAAATTTAGGGCAAACTATTGATACATTTATTTAACAATTAGGACACACTCTTGATCCATTTATTTAACAATATGATGAATATCAGAATAGTTTTGCTGGATGAAAGAAGCCAGGCAAAACAGAGTATAGACTATACTTTCTTTTATGTAACATTCTAGAAAATACTATCCAATCTATACCGATGGAAAGTAGATGGGTGGTTGCCTGGGGCCCCAGGGGCAGGGAGGGACACGAGGGGCAGCTGGGAGAGATAACGGGAACCTTTGGGGGTGGCAAGTGTGTTTATTTCTTGATTGTGGTGATCTGGGTTTCCCATGTGTGTCTTTTACTTATTTCATATTTCTTTATTTTGAGATGGAGTCTCGCTCTGTCGGCGGGCTGGAGTGCAGTGGTGTGATCTTGGCTCACTGCAACCTCCACCTTCTGGGTTCAAGTGATTCTCCTGCCTCAGCCTCCTTAGTAGCTGAGTGTACAGGTGCTCATCACCACATCCAGCTATTTTTCTATTTTCAGTAGAGACAGGGTTTCACCGTGTTGACCAGGCTGGTCTTGAACTCCTGACCTCAGGTGATCTGTCTGCCTTGGCCGCCGAAAGTGCTGGGATTACAGGTGTGAGCCACCATGCCCAGCCTCCCATGTGTGTCTTTATGTTCAAATTTATTGAATTGTACCCTTTTAATATGTGCAGTTTATTGCATGTTGATTATTTATACCTCTGTAAAGCTGTTTAAAAAGAGTCAGTCTGGATGCTGGGTGGAAATGGCTCGGAGGGGCGAGAACTGGAAGTTGAGGAGTCAGTGGAGGTGGTTGCAGCTGCTCAGTGGGAGACGGCTCAGTTTGACTGGGGTGAGGTCTGTGGAGAGAGCCTGGTAGATGACTTGTGCTTTGGTGGGACCCATAAGACCTGGGGATGGATCTGATATTGGGGGTGGAATAAAGCTAGGAAAAGTAGGTGAGTTTTAGGTGTTTTGCTTGAGCAGAGCTCCGTCTATGTAGTCTCTGCTTATCTAAAATAGTCTAGGAACTGAGGGAAGACTCGGGGAGGGACACGCTTTAGGAGTAGGGGATCATGTGTCCCACGTTGAAAGTCCTGTGCAAGGTGTGTGAGGCGTCCAGGTGGGTGGAAACCTGGTGCTGAGAAAGGTTGGGACGCATCAGCATGCACATGGTGTTTAAAGCAGGAGCGCAGGCTGAGAGCCCCTAGGGGCCTAGACCCAACCTGGAGCGATCAGGAGAGGAGTAGACGGGGAGTCTGGGCTGGGCAGCAAGGAGAAGGAGGCCAGGAGCACAGGCCAGGACCCAGAATAGGGGAGCCCAGGAGAGCTGGTGTGGCCGGCTGGGCTGAGTGCCTGTGGGTGAAGATGGCGAGGTGGGCATTGGACAGAGGGATACAAGGGTCCTTGGTGACAAGGAAGCAATTTCTGTGGAGTGAAGGGGCGGGCCCAGTCTACAGTGGGTTGAAGCAGGAGCAGGAGGTGAGGGAGTGGGGTTGGCAGGTGGAGGCAGCTTGTTGGGTACGTTCTGCTGCAAAGGGGGCAGCTGGAGGGTGGGAGTCAAGGTTGTGTGTGTATATATCTAAGGCGGGAGGTGTCAGCATGCGTCTGAATGAGGATCATGGAGGAGGATAGCAAGCAGGTATTTGGGAGGTGCCAGCATGCGTTTGAATGAGGATTGTGGAGGAGGATAGCAAGCGCGTATTGCAGGGCATAGTGTCTGTGAAGGGCAGAGGGGGAGGATCCAGGGCACAGGTGGAACCCAGGAGAGGGGAGCAGTATGGCTTCCTCCTGTGCAGCAGGAAGGGAGGAGGAAGTGAGCCCCGTGGCAGGTGAGTCTCCCGATCCATGATGAGGTGTGCTCGGAGTCTCACCCACAAGAAGGTTGAGGAAATGGGGTGGGTGGTTCCTGGCTGTGCCCAGAGCACCAGAGAGGGCATTGGAGAGAGCTGCCAGGCAGCTGCAGGCCCTGGCTTGGGGTCAGGAAGTGAAGGTGAAACGGGTCCAACTGATGATGTGAATTTTCTTTTCTGGCAACGTTCAGTTGCTTGGGTGCAGGTGGGAGCAGTGGGATAGCTGGGCTCCTTCAGGGCCTGGCGAGACAGGCCTGGGTGGAGGACGAGAAGCACAAGCAGAGGATGGCAGCGAAGGTTGGGCCTCAGCTGGATGAAGGCAGGCCGCCAAGCTGGGACGAGGAGGGTGTCTCCACGAGGCTGAAGAGTTGAGTGCAGGATGAGAGAACGCATTTGCTGAAGCATCGTGGGTGGTGGCCAGGGAGTCAAAGCCTGAGACGAGGATTCAGGGGGAAGTGATTTCAAGCTCCGGGGATGACAGTAGGAGAGGTATTGGAGGTTGGGTGTTTGGAGGTGGAGAGGAAGGTGTTTGGAGGTGGAGAGGGTTAGGAACTGAGCGACAAGGTGTCGGATCTGCACCTATGCACACACATATATGTGAACATGTGTGTCAGGTCACTGAGGGTGGTGATAGAGCAGGAGTGGAGAGGATGGCCAGCCGGCGAGTGAGGTGCATGAGGGACGGTAACTGGCAACGGTAGGTGACAGTGGCCAGGAAGGGCTGCAGGGGTGTGCTGTAGGGTGTGGGCATTGGCATCAGGGAGCTGGAAGGAGCAGTGGAGAAGGCAGACGCCATCCTCACCTGCCATCTCTAAAGTCTGTGGGGGGTGAGGAAGAGGCAGCTCTCACTCAGAGGCGAGTTGGGGAGGTGCGCCCTTTGTGTGAGGCCAGTTTTAGTTGGGGCAGGAGTGAGGATGCTGGGGAGAGGCTGAGTCTTTAGGAGAGGGGATGGCGCGGTTGGTGGAAGTAGTGCCAAGTATCAGGAAACGAGAGGGCATACCCTGTGCCCAGGGATGCGGCAGTCTCACCTCTGCCTCTTGGGGGACGCGTTTGCCAGAGAGAAAGCGTCAGCAAAGTGCCGTCTTCCAGAGGCTCAGCAAGACGCACAGGAGGCACAGGCTCCAGTGGCAAATGCCAGCCTCATGAGGGTGTTTGGGACCAGGTGGCCTCATTAGTGAGGGCTGGGGCCCTGTGGGTATGAGGGTGCATGCACCTGGGAGGCCGTTTGGGTCAGCTCCCCCATGGATCCAGCACAGCACTTCGACGCCGGGACGTGGCGCTCAGCACACGGAGCCAAGCCAATCCTGTCATTCAGGGACTCGATCACTGCGGGGCTCAGCCCGGCGTGGAGTAGGCTCCTTCTCTGTGTTCCCCAGGCCAGGGGACTTGCACACCAGAATCCTTCCTCATAGATTTCTCGACTTACCACTCTGCATTGCAGGAGGCCCTTCAGTCAGATGTCCAGTCCAGAGCTGGCTGCCCGTGGGCAGGGTAGGGTCATTGGCTGCCCAGGGCCATGGGATAGGGCAGACACGTGAGGCCGACGCCTCTGGTGTGGAGGTAGTACAGGGGAGTGGGTCTCCCACAGCAGGTGAGGGGTTCAGACTCAGAGGGTCCAACCCTGTGAAGGCAGGGCAGGTGGTGAAGGCCTTGGGGTGGTGAAGTCGTGGTGCTGCAGGCTCAACCCCCTTTCTCTTGTTGACAGCACTGACGTCTTCATCTGCACAAGCCCCATCAAGATGTTCAAGTACTGTCCCTATGAGAAGGTAAGGCGTGTGTCTGCTCCGCTGGGCCCTACCCCATGCATCATAGTGAGGGGTACAGGCTCAGCCTGCCTGTGGAAAGGGGATGGACCCTCCCAGCACTCCCCCACCTCTGTGACAGCGGCTCCTGCTCCCCAAGGCCCTCTCCAGCCCCAGCCTGAGGCTCTAGATGGAGCCTCATTATGACACAGGTTCTCCGGGAAGGGTGTCTGTCACTGTGTCAGGTTAGCCTGGCCCAGAGCAGGCCTTTGAAGGATGAGAATCATGCCGGGGGAGGCACGTGGATGCATTAACATGAAAAGTCTTAAAAAGGTGAGGTGGGTACAGTTCATTTTTCTATATACTCACTTTATTGTCGTTATTGAAAAGAATTAGAATTGCATGACATTGAGACCTTTCTGGAAATTGGGAACTTGCAGTTGCCAAACCTAGAGGAAAGGTCTGTGGCCCTGGAGGAGGGCACTTGTGCCGGAGGGGTCAGGGCCAGCCCTCCTTGGGGACATCAGAACAGCTCTTCCCAAGCCGAGGAAGGCAAGATCTTCAGCCCAGAGCCCCTCCTGCTTTGGGGGCATCAAACCTTCAGGCATGAGTTCTTTCTTGTTCTTCACATGACCCTTTCCTGTTTTTTTTTGAGACAGAGTTTCACTCTTGTCGTCGCCCAGGCTGGAGTGCAATGGCGCGATCTCGGCTCACTGCAACTTCCGCCTCCTGGGTTCAAGTGATTCTCCTGTCTCAGCCTCCTGAGTAGCTGAGATTACAAGTGTCTGCCACCACATCCGGGTAATTTTTTTTGTATTTTTAGTAGAGACAGGATTTTGCCGTGTTGGCCAGGCTAGTCTCGAACTCAAGCTCAGGTGATCTGCCTGCCT